TCTTAGTTCTTCTAAAGTACTCTTAGAATGCTCTCTTAGTCATCCAGTGACTTAACCATGTATTCAATTACTATTCTATGACATGCTTACAACACGATCAAATACCATGTCCTATGCATAATATGGCAAATGATGAATTCATTTTCCAAGCAAATGGAATATAAATCATTTCATATAGTTCAAACCTATGAGTTGTGTACTTTTGATGCTAGCTCACAATGGTGCCATATGACAATGCCAAGAATTCTCCAAAAGAATCTTGTATCTTGATCCCTTTCAAGATATTGCCAATATATGTATAAGGACATGAAACTTTTAACATTCCTTTTATCTATCCCTTATAAATTTTACATTCCAAGAATGTATCCTTTCCTTCTTAAGTCTTTCATTTTAGAAACACTTTTCGAGTCAAGGTGAAAACAACCTTGCCTAGTCAGAATGTGATTTCAAATGATTAAGTATGTCTCATTCATATAAGATTAGGAATTTCACTATGCTCCCACTAATTCTTAGTAAACACACATGTTCTACCCATTTTTATATAAAAACACACCTTGTGGTTTTATATGAAATGATGATTGCAACATTAAGATGCTTGCTTTATGTCCACAAGTGGATCTCAAGCAATACACATTTTGTTAGGACAACATGGATTAAGAAAAGCTCCCGGCTAATCTATATAGATATCTTCTAGTAGATGTCTATTAAGAAAATCGGTATTTCTTGAAATCTATTTACTATATCTCATATTAAGAATATGAATTAATAGTAAACAATATTCTTATTGATCTAATCATAGCTACTTGTTAGAAAGGTTTGATAATAGTCAATGTCATGAGTATGATGAGGACCATAGTCAATGACATGAGTATGAGAAAAACCTTTTACTACAAGTCTTGCTTTAAATGTATATGGTTAGCCATGTAATTTATTCTTTCTAGAAGAATCATTTTCTCCTTCTTGCCTTGCTATAGGGATAAATTATAATCAAGCCTATACTTGATTCTCATACATGGATTACATCTCATGTTCATGACTCTAAGTCATTTATCAGATTCGAGACCTGACATAGCATCTTGGTATTTGATGGATTTTCTAGAAACCATCAATAAAAGCTCTGATACCAATTGTTGGGTTTTAGATCAAAAATAGTTTCATACACTAGAAAAATATGGCAACGGAAGACCTAAAATTTTGAAATAAGATAAACATTTTATACCCACCAAGGAACTTCTTCCAAGTTATAGAAAGATTTAAACACCAACCAAAGAAATGATGAAGAAATAACAACATTTGTAGTTGTTTGGGTCCTCTTGGAGGCTTGGAAGTTGATCAAGAATGTGGAACCTTTGAGACACCAACAATGACTCAACTTGATTAAGATGCTAGTCCATAAACTCTTAAGAACTCTTAAGCTTTAGTTCATATCAAATATGAACCAAAGAGAGTAAGGAAATGCATGTAAACTTCAAGGCAAGAACAAAAGATGAGAGAGTCTCATCTCTCTCTCTCTCTCTCTCTCTCTCTCTATGTTACGTTTTTTTTGGTGTATCAAATTCAAGAGAAAATTAAATCCACAACTCTTGTATTTATAGTAGAAGCATTACCCTACTTTATAAATAAACTAACCAAAATATCATGCCCTTATTTAAATAATCAAAGAGTCATTCTCTCATTTAAATAATAAAAAAATCATACTCTTATTTAAATATTCAAAGAGTCATTCTCTCATTTAAATAATCAAAAAGCCTTAATCTTTCTTTTTTGACTCTTATTTTATAAATAATAAAAGAAAGAAGGCAAAAACTTTATATTTTATAAAACAAGTTTATAAAATATAAACTTTAATTTTTTGGTAAAAGACAAAAGAATTTGTCTAGTCCAAAATGTTGTGCATGACTTATTAATTAATACCATATGAATTATATATAATGTTAGTTGTTAATGAAAATTATTATTTCCTAGAAATATACAATTTCCAGTTTAATTATAAGAGCTTATTGAATATTTATTAAAATCAATTTCTAATGAATAATCAATTGTATCAAGTTGTTAGTGCGACCCATTAGTAACATATCTTAATTAGCAATATTACTTTCATATGATTCTTGAGCATACTAGATTTTTCAGTATTTTGGGGAAACTCACTAAGCTCCGTGCTTATGGTTTTCAGTTTATGTTTCAGGTACTTCTGGTGCAAAAGGGAAGAGCTCGGGGTGATTGCAGTGCACACACGATATTGTTCCGCATTTCATGATAACTCTAATATTTTGTGATGTTTTGATACATATGTTCCACTTGGGATTTATGATGATGTTTTGGAATATTGTTTTTATTAATTGAAAAATGAAATTTTTGGGTCTTATTTTTGGGACATTACAACTCGAGCTTAGAGGTCAACAACGCTTAATACACAAAATAAAACACTCAAGGAGATGGTCACTGGAGAGAAGAGAAATAGAAAAAGGGGAGGAGAAGGACCTTTCCCTCGTTACTGTCGGAATGAAAAAATCATTGACGGTGATGCAGCTTCTGTCACCGGTGATGGCGGCCTTGTCGTCGTCGGTGATAAAGGATGCCACTGGTGGTAATCGATTGTCTTGAGTGCGATTTCGTCGGGAAATCAGGAGAGCAAAAGGGTGTACAAAATACAGGAAAACGGAGAAGAGAAAGGTATATATATGCACAGAGCATTAGCGGCGATGCTAGGGTTTTAGTGCCGACAACTTCCGGAGGGAACTTATATCGTGTTTTTTTCGAGCATTAGCGGCGACGATTGTCGCAACCATTGACATCGCTGCTAGTAGTATATGCGATATCCAATACCAGCCGTTGGATTAGGCCCAGATCTACGGATATGGGTTAAACAATGCCTTTGACGCGGATCGAGGTTTTTTTACTTTAGCGTCGACATCTAACGCGGATATTAGATGTCGCCGCTAAAAACGTCGCTGCCAAAGGTATTTAATCTTGTACCGGTGTGTCAAGACTTCAAAATAGAAAACTTAACCACGTCCAAAATTATTTCGCCGCATCAGAAAATCATTTTTTTTTTCTAACAGTTTTCAAACCTACATTGTAGAATTTTCTTTTCTGACTGATGATATATTAGTTTCGACCCCATTGGACCTGCCGAATTCCAGTATACAACACTACAAACACAAAGTAAACGGATTTGATCAAAAGGCTTTAGAAACTTGCTGATAAAGTTCGTGTCCTGAGACATAAGATGATGCACGTTTATCGACGTCTACGTGTACCACCATTCGCTAACTCAGACCACCGTCCATTTGCTGACTCACCCTACCTTCTCCCCTTGACCTCCACGTGTAGCTCTATCTTCTTTTATCAGTATCCTTAAAACCGCTACCTATGTCCTTTAAATATCCCCCGTCACATTTTCAGCGAATTCATACACCTTCCGTATACATCACAGACGAAAACTCATCCAACATTCACTAGAAAAGAAACGTGAAATCATGGCTTCAGATCAGCTAAGGAGGGAGAACAAAACCGGTGAGCGAGAGATTCATGTCGAAAAAGACAAGGTCCCGAAAATGGCTAGTCATTTTGAATCGCTCACTGTCAAAGATACCGGTGACGCCGTGGTATCCCACCACGTCATCGGAACCATGGGTGGTAAAGATGATGAAATGCATGGTCAAAGCAAAACGCAGAAAGATAAGACACAAGATACTACTACCATGCAAAGCAGGGAACATGGCAAAGCGGGGGAGGCTCATAAGCAAAGTGGTGACGTACAAGAGCAATACAAAGGGCCTTCTCTTGAAGACATCTCGAAGCTTAGAGGAACTGCACAACAGAACTCCATGGAAGCCATTAGAGCCGCCGAGGAACGGCACCAGAAGGCGAAAGAGATGGGCGCCTCTCAAGGCCAAAATGTCAGTCAGTCTGCAAGCCGGCCAAAAGGTCAGCAGTCGAAAGTGAGTGCAACTCAAACCGGCCATAAGGGTCAGCAAACAAGTGAGCAGACTAAAAATAGCGTTTCTGGTGTAACCCAAACAGCATCGGAAAAGGGTGCCAAGGCTAAAGATTACGCCGTTGAAAAGGGTCGACAAACTGGTGAGCAGGCAAGAGAGAAACTTTCTGGTGCAACACAGACCGCAGCTGAGAAGGCTGCAAGGGCTAAAGACTACACCGTCGAGAAAGGCCAACAAACCGGTGAGCAGGTAAGAGAGAGCCTTTCCGGTGCAACCCAAACTGCAGCGGAGAAGGCTGCGAGGGCAAAAGATTACGCCGCCGAGAAGGGACAACAAACTGGTCAGCAGGCAAAGCAGAGCCTAACTTCCGCCGCTCAAACTGCTGCAGAGAAGGCTGCAAGAGCCAAAGATTACACTCTCGAGAAAGGTCAACAAACAGGTCAGCAGGCAAAGCAGAGTCTTACATACGCCGCACAAACCGCCGCAGAGAAGGCTGCAAGAGCAAAAGACTACACTCTCGAGAAAGGTCAGCAAACCGGTCAGCAGGCAAGAGAGAGCCTTTCAGCAGCCACTCAAGCCGCAATGGAGAAGGCAGCGATGGCAAAAGATTACACTTTAGAGAAGTCCGTTCAGGCCAAAGACGTAGTTGCAGAAAAGACAACCGGAATAACGGATACGGCAGTGGATGTGAGCAAGAAAGGGGCAAGTTACGTCGGAGAAAAAGCTGTGGCGGCTAAAGACGTTGCATTGGAAACAGGGAAGACAACCGCCGGGTACGTAGGCAAGGTGGCGGGTGTGGTGAAAGACAAGGCAGTGGTAGCGGGGTGGAGTGCTGCGGAGCTTGCTGGTGATACAGCGGTGGGTGTGACTAAGACAATGGCAAATGTGACCGCCGGAGTAGCTGGTTTTGCCGGCGATACAGCAGTAGCGACAAAGGATGTGGTGGTTAAAGCGGGCACGAAAACCAAGGATATGGTGGTGGGAGCCGAGGAGAATGTCAAAGACTATGCTGCGAGGAAGAAAGCCGAAAAGCTGAGAGAATTAGAAGCCAAAAACGCCAAGGTAAGTCGTTTTCTCTACTTCTAATTCGTTTCATTTATTCATTATATATTTAGGTGTTCAATTCTTAGGATATTTCCAGTTGTGACTCTATAGGATGAAGGTGAATTTGGTGGACAGCGAAACGAGAGCGAGAGTGTAGGGGAGATGGCATCTGATTTCATGAATCAAGGGACAGCGACCAACAAAGGGTACGATGAACAGGGTGGATATGAACAAAGTTTTGAGCATGAAGGAATGGAAGAAGGTGGTTTCGAGAAGCAAAGTGGTGGTGGTGGTGCGGCGGCGGGAGGTGTGATGAGGGTGATCGGCGAGACATTGGTGGAAATAGGACAGAATACAAAAGAGATGCTGGTTGGGCAAGGTGATTACAAGGGAGAGCAGCAGATTGGTGAAGGAGGTCGTAAGAGCAGAAGGCAGTGAAAGTAGTGGTGTAATGTTGATGTGGGCGAAGATGCATGTGTTTTCTTGTTTTATGTTTGTAATGTAAATACCCCACGTTCTTTGTGGAAATAATTGGTGTACGAAGGTGTGTTCTTTTTGTTCATTCTTGTTTTTTTGCAAAGTATTGTCGAACTTGCGTACAATAACACAATCTTAAGATGGAGATTCAAAACAACGACAATGGCGGACGACTAAAATGAGATATTGTTTTATGAATAACAAAGATTTAGGAAAAGAGATTTGGTTGCCAAAGCAAAGAAAAATAGTTTCCATTTGAAACTCAAAGAATGATTTGTAAAATACTATAATGAAAAATGAGAACAGTGTTACAGTCCCATATTACATACGGCGTGGTGTTTTGTGGAGTGTGGTAATTTTTTTAAAAAAAATTTACAATTCCCTGTATTTCAAAAGATAGTAAAAATTGATTTTAATTGTGGTTCCACGTAATTTATATAGAAACAACAAATTTAAATTTTCACAATTGCCTTATTGTTTATCATTTCTCTAAGTACCGGGTGGGTGTTATCAGTTATAACATCCGACACTTGTCATCTGATATGCCAATACTATACAATAAATATGCCAATACTATACAATAAATACATCATATGCCAATACAACGCTATTATACAATAAATAGAAATTGAGATGGTGTTTATGTTATAAAAATAACGTTAAGAAGAAATTAAGTAAGAAGAAATTGAGTTGGTGTTCATATTATAAAATATTAAGAGGCAGGGAGAGTAGGATTGATTGGTTGGGTTTTTCGTTAGCAGTGTATTGTTGTTACCACAAGATTGGTCTTAACAAGATTGGTGGTAGTGTCCTTCATGTTACACATTAAGAGGCGAAAAGAATTTTTTTAGGGTGTTCATCTTAAATTATCAAACATCTAAAAACTGCAAACACATATAAATTATCAAACATCCACAAACTGCATATATATTACAAATGCCTCATTGTTTATCATTTCTCTAAGTACCGGGTGGGTGTTATCAGTTATAACATCCGAAACTTGCCATCTGATATGCCAATACAGCGCTACTATACAATAAATATATGCCAATACAGTGCTGCTATACAATAAATACCTCATATGCCAATACAACATAAATACTTCATATGCCAATACAACGCTACTATACAATAAATAGAAATTGAGATGGTGTTCATATGTTATAAAAATAACATTAAGAAAAAATTGAGATGGTGTTCATATTATAAAATATTAAGAGGCAGAGAGAGTAGGATTGATTGGTTGGGTTTTCCGTTAGTAGTGTATTGTTGTTACCACAAGATTGGCCTTAACAATATTGGTGGTAGTGTCCTTCATGTTACACATTGAGGGGCGAAAAGAATTTTTTTAGAGTGTTCATCTTAAATTATCAAACATCTAAAAACTGCAAACACATATAAATTATCAAACATCCACAAACTGCATATATATTACAAATTCACTAAGATCCTCGACGACTTTTCATTTTATCATACATATTGTTGATATCTTGATTGGCAACATCCGCAAACCTCTTTTTTGATATAAGTAACCAAGTTATCATTCATCCATTGATCTCCCATTTTGTTGTGTATCATGTTCTTCACAATCCTCATAGCAGAAAACGATCTTTCAACTGTTGTTAAAACTGATAACGTCAATGCTAATTTGATGAGCTAGTAAACCATAGAGAACACTTTATCCCTTTTTGTTTCAACCATCCTCTTTGCAAGATCACCAATCTCATTTAGATTAAAAAACTCTAACGAATTCAACATATCAATAATATAAGTTTTAAGTTGATCATCAAGTATCTCAAAGTCTATATCTGAAAAATCATTTGGATATAAACCAGCTAGCTAAATCAATTTATTTTTATCAAAAGTTGCAAATGAGGTATTTGGATTGAGACACGCCATGAAAAAAAGGAATTTGGTGCCAGTCTCACTAAAATGAGTCTCTAGTTCTGTGTGTTGCAAATCAATGACATTATAGAATAACTCTACATGATAGTAGTGTAAGTTTGCCATCTTTGAATATTTTCGTCGTGACCGTCCAGGAAGTAAGAACATTGCATCCATGTTGCAAACATCAATCTCGTGTTTTTCACAAAACAATATCTCATCCACTATCCCTCAAAATTTGCAATTGCATCTTGCAAATTCTAACAAAGTTCATTGCATTTACAATATCTTGATCTTTCCTTTGCAATTCTTGGGACAACTCATTAGTAATACCCAATAATTTTTTCATGAAATGTAGAGAAAATATGAAGTCAAAGGTTTGCAAGGAGTTAATTAACATATCAGTTTCACATTTTTGTTTTGGGGTTGCACCATCTTCCGTAATAATCTCAAGTACATCTAAAATGGTTGGAAACAACGAAATCATACTTATCAAAGTACCATAGTTGGATCCCCAACATGTGTCTCCCGGTTTGATAAAATATGTTTCTTGATTGAGGCCTCGGCCGCTTATGATTTCACCTAAACCAAGTGTGTCAATAACTTTGGAAGCTTGTTGTTCTCTAAGACGGTCAAGACGCTTGCAAGAACCTCCAACAACATTCACAACAATGGTTAGCAACACAAACAAAGAAACAATTTTTGAATTATTTTTTGCCACAACTACAAGAGTAAGTTGAAGCTAATGAGCAAAACAATGAACATAATATGCACTTGCATTTTCATTTAAAAATCAGAGTTTTAAGACCACCAAGTTCACCTCTTATATTACCATAACCTTGTCCGCACAAATTGGAGATGCTCAATCCATGTCTTGAAAACAATTTATCGAGTGTCTATTTAAGTGTAATAGCTGTAGTATTTGGGACATATTCAATACCTAGAAAACGTACAATTACACGAACTTCTATATCCACATACCGCAACACAACACTCATTTGTTCTTTAATCGAAATATCACAAGATTCATCGACAAGGAGAGAGAAAAAAGATTCGCCAATATCATTTGTAATGAGCTTCGTTGTTTCAGTCGCAGCTACATGAACAATGTCTTTTTCAATATCTAGTGAAGTCAACTTCAAATACAAAGGACCATTACTGAAAGTAACAACTTTAATGTTTTGACTATGATCATCCAGATTCATCTATAAAGTTCCCTCTGTTATTTGAAGTTTCCCTTTTATCATGGCCTCTAAATGCAAGACAGTGTCTTAACAAAAATCGAGTACAATCAATTGATGCATCCAATCGTATATCACAGTCTATTTAACTGTCAGACCCCCGAAAGCAGACGGCGGAAACGTCTGAAGGCTCGCATGACTTAAATTGAATACCATTACAATGAATATACATGATAACATAAACATCACCATGCATCAATACATTACAACTGATATTGTTTACATCCAGTACATTGTTTTAAATATTACATATTCATAACACAAAATGTTTAAGAGTTTTCAAAACAAAACATCCTAACATACTTGGTATTACCTTTCCGCTTACCTGTTACCTGAGAATACAAGTTATTTTGGAAAAACGTCAACATATGGAATGTTGGTGAGTTCATAAGCAAAGTTGTGATAAAAATGATTTGTATAGTTTGTAAAACCCAGAAAATCCGATATTTTCTGAAAAGACAATAGTTTATCAAAGTGTGAAGATCCATAAGTTGATGCATGAATGATTTCAAAACATATATATAAAAAGGGTGTTTTGTATTATAGTTACAGAATTTACGAGCGAGTGGTGTTGATTTCCCCGGAAAACCCGATGTTTTCCGATGTCGAAAGATATACTTGATTACTAAATGTTATACCGTCACGTCGAATGAATATTGATTACTCTTCCTTGATTTCTCGGGTGGTGTCGGATATTATCATTAC